TCCATGTTATAGAGCAAATAGAAACTAGTCTAAAACCAAGTTATAAAGCAAATAAAGAGACTACTCTACAACCAAGTTATATAGAAAATAAAGAGACTAGTCTAAAACCAAGTTATAGAGCATACACAAGAGTAAAACAGTAAAAATGTAATCTGGAGCAATTTAATGCCATCTTTCACCATATATAATCCGTTATATGGTCCAACAGCAAACAACATAGACACTGATCTGCCTTCAGTGTCAGTATTGCCTGTTATTACTCCTGCCAAAGTACACAGACCCAAATCAGCTGATGATTTATGCAGTGGCAGATTTGGGTCTATGTAGTTTGCTTTTGGATCTGATTTGTAAGCAAGTACAGCACTAAACAGATATAGATTCCTATTCACTGTGTTGTATGCCTAAAATTTCTCACTATGGTAGTTTAAAATTCATATTAACTCCTATATACATGACAATTTCCTTGAATACAATGGAACTTTTCTTTGAAGATAATAGTAATGTATTGAAATGCAAACATGTTAAATTTTTTTTTCATAATTTCTTAAGAACAACTAAGTTAAATTATGATTATGTAGATGTCAATGTCACTTGATTATAATTTACTTTGCAAGTAGGCTATAATTTCATTTTTAATTATAAATAATCAAAGATGTCTTCACAGAATCAGTGCAGTATTGAATAATCGATGATATTTAATATAATAATCATGACAGTTTACTCATTTCCATTTTGAAAAATTTTACTCATGGAATTGTAAATATCTTTCATTTATTTTTGGGATTAAATACATGTACTTGGTCAGCATAGATTAGTTAAATGTTTGTTGGATAAAAATATTTCTTATTTTTATACTTGGAAAATAAACCCAGAAAATAGGAGCAATTTATCAAATTGAGTCAATTAATGGGGAGATGTACATTTTGAATGATGCAATTAGCACTACTGTAGAATGATACAAATATATACATCTGCTTAGAAGATGAATTCAACCTCCAAACTGCACAGACCCAGATCTACTATGGTGGCGCTCTACAGTTTTGTATTTAGCATAGGGTTAAAATTTTAAAGAAAAAGAGTTTCCCCGGGTTTCCTCACTAGTTATACTGGCTATTTAAAAGAGACTTTGTATATCTTGGGTATTGTTCAAAGAAACTTTAATTCCCTTTATTTTGATGTATGATTGTTGGGTGTAATATGGGTTAGAGAGTATACAGCTTGGCCTTACTCCAGATGTGCACCATTCAAAAAAGTGCTAGCTCTACTTGTTCCTTTTCACTTCTCCAACTTCAGAGGTAAATTGTAAAAATAACTTTTTTTACATTTTATGTATTTGGTAATTCAGTCATTGCACTTTTAGAAGCTGGTATTATCTAGTTTGGCAAAATTCATTTTCCATATTTTAATAGCTGCCAAGAATAGTGTACTTTAGACAAATTTAAGTTGATTTTTGGAGCACAAGAAAGCAGTCATTTTAGTTAGCAGTGTCCTAAGATCATTTAAAATTTCCAAAAGTACAATATTCAAAGAAATTTCATCCACATTACATGAAAGTAGTATATAGGTATGCCAACATTCTCTCCATTGTGCATGTTTAAAATGCAAACAACTTCTCCTTACATGCATCACTCTCTCAAAAGTACATAATAACTGCTGAGTGCCACCATAAAGAGAATATAGGTATTATTATTGTATGATTTAATTTTGATTGTATGACTGAAATATTTAAGTCGCAAGCATCAAAACAGTCCTTTGTAATAATTGTCATGTATTTCCCCCCTCAGAACAGCATGTATTAGAGTCAGAGTCTTAAACCGGTACAGCCTCCCCCTTATGATAAAAAGTGAACAATTTTAAAAATGTGCATTGCATTTTGTCAACATAGTAACCAGTGTTATGCTGATAGACAGGAACATGAAACTAGCCATATTTATTCCTGAGAAGTCAACAATAAATTTTACAGTTATAAAAGGGATATAACAGGTGAGGTTCATAAAGGTCAAAGGGTAAAATATTAACTAATTCTTTGATATGGAAGAAAGCAAATTTGCTTTATCATTTATTTTTTTAATTTCATTGCAAAAAAATGAAATGAAACATTTTCACTATGTATTTCTTTTACTTAATGCAACATTTTTCAATTTAAGTTGACTTTATTCCTATATTCTAAGACTTCTAATTTTCCCATAATGAAGGTCACTACTCACCCAAACATGCCTCATAGCAAATTATGTATGCTAAAGCAAAAATAAGCATAATTAGCTTATTTTCATGAATAAAATCATTGTTAATGTACCATTTTACTCAGAACATCATACATAATAATATGAAAATAAGAAAAATAATTGCATAAATGTTTATATTTGTTTTTAAGGTGGCGCTCTACAGTTTTGTATTTAGCATAGGGTTAAAATTTTAAAGAAAAAGAGTTTCCCCGGGTTTCCTCACTAGTTATACTGGCTATTTAAAAGAGACTTTGTATATCTTAGGTATTTTTCAAAGAACCTTTACTTCCCTTTATTTTGATGTATGATTGATGGGTGTAATATGGGTTAGAGAGTATACAGCTTGACCTTACTGCAGATGTGCACCTTTCAAAAAAGTGCTAGCTCTACTTGTTCATTTTCACTTCTGGAAATTCAGAGGTAAATTGTAAAACAAAGAGCTGATAACCTTTTTTACATTTTATGTATTTGGTAATTCAGTCATTGCACTTTCAGAAGCTGGTATTATCTAGTTTGGCAAAATTCATTTTCCATATTTTAATAGCTGCCAAGAATAGTGTACTTTATACAAATTTAGGTTGATTTTTGGAGCACAAGAGAGCAGTCATTTTAGTTAGCAGTGTCCTAAGATCATTTAAAATTTCCAAAAGTACAATATCCAAAGAAATTTCATCCACATTACATGAAAGTAATATATAGGTATGCCAACATTCTCTCCACTGTGCATGTTTAAAATGCAAGCAACTTCACCTTACATACATCACTCTCTCAAAAAAATACATAACTGTTGAGCGCCACCTATTGCATGTGCTGGTAGATCCAAGTCTATGCACTTTGTTACAAGCAATCATTAGAATAAACATCAATGACATTGATTTGCATGTGTTATATTGCAGTTGGACTTATAAGCAGGTGTAAATGGTATTCATTTGGCTGTTATGGTAATGGAAATCTATGACATGAATTAAAGATATGTTAAGCATTCTTTGTTTCTTTTTCTTTTTAGAAGTTAACTAAAACAATCCTCACAGGATTTTAGACAAACGCCTATAATGTTCTGTCAACAGAATTGACTTTGCCCCAAGTTGAAGATTTGGGCCTGCTTATCAGGATTGAGGACTCAAGCTTTTTATTTCATCCTAACTATACAGTAGAACCTTGTTGGTGTGAACTTCTAGGACTGATCTTCAAAATACCATTTACTTGAACCACTAATCTCTCCAGCTTTTAAGCCTCTTGTAAGTTCAACTCAAACCACTGATCTCTCCAACTGAAGCCCCATGGAAGTTCAGCTTCAACCACTTTTATTGAACTTTTTATTCCTTGGAGGTTCAGCTTAAACCTCTGATCTTGGACTGAAGCTAATTGGAGGTTCAGCTTAAACCTCTGATCTTGGACTGAGGCTCCCTGGAGGTTTCAGCTAGATAAGTAATAATGATGCAAACCTAGAACTTATGAATGTCACTAAAGCTTTTTACCTCTTTAGTTATTTTCTTCCTGGAGAGTTTTAGAGAAACGAGCCCTGGCATATATTACACATACTCATCTATATATACACAAACACACACATTCATATATATATATATATATATATATATATATATATATATATATATATATATATATATATATATATATATATATATATATATATACATACATACACACATATGTACACATATATGCACACACATACATATTTAGGATAATTTCCAATAATAGTAGTAATGATCTTTGATGAAAATCAAATGTTTATAAGTAATAAATCACACTTTAGATGTAAAGTGTGATGAGTATATTAATTAGATGCGATGGGCTTCTGCTAATCCAACTTGGAATTGGTGGATCCAAAAAAGATTACAACTAATCTTCTGTACCCCCATCTTTATTCAACTCCTTTTTTGAACATGTGTAAACAGCTCATACAGTGTCTGTAGATTATATTGTACAAGTTACATAAGCTGTTGTACATACATTAAAACTACAAATAATAATTGTGCAATTTCTGCTCAACCACAAAATGATGGCAGGGTTAAAGGTCATTTGTAAGACTAACCATATTTTAGAATTAAGATTTTATTCATAAATATACTACTTAAAGTTTTTAAAAGCACATAGTTATGCTCGGCCGTAAATGTGTAAAATTGTTTTTATACAAATGTTGGTCAGTTGTCCCATAGCATTTAAATTTTGAAGGTTCAAATCATCACTGTTGAACCAATATATTATCATTTTTATCTATTTTGATACATTATATTATTATCATCTTAATCTATATTATCATTTTTATTATGGTACATTAATTGCAAACTGGAGCAGAAGAATAACTAATCTTGGTTGCCAAAAATGGAATTTCATCTCCTTTATTTATTTTTTTTTTTTCATTCATGCAACCAATTCTGAATGTCTGTGATGTGTAAAGTTTTGTATGTAATGATTTGGACATTTGTTTGATACAGCAACCTGCAAAGAAACTGTTTCACACTTTAATACCCATTGTGAACCTCAAACAACATAAACAGGTAGCACACCTTTAATTACAAGCTTTATTAGGGACCTAGTCCAACATTAGAAAATTTATATATTCATGTGCACACATTCTGCAAGATACAAGGATACGGCTATACCTATTTATCAATTGGACATGGTGAATATTCTGCTAAAAGGCTGAAAAATAAAGTCATTCTGGTCAGCCTACAAATGAATCACTTTTAATTTGCCATCAGTTTGTGTTTGGATTGAAATATTTTAACCAGTTACTACTGAAACCGTTCTGGTGGCCTAGTGGTTAGAGCATCCGCCTCGGATGCGGGAGGTAATGGGTTTGATCCCCGGTAGAATCATACCAAAGACTTACAAAAATGGTACTAACTAACAGCTGCCTCACTTGACGCTCAGCATTAAGAGACTAGTGTTAGGACTGGTCGGCCTGGTGTCAGGATAATGTGACTGGGTGGGACATCATGCCACATATCTGCGGCATGATGCCCCAGTGCTAGACATCACTATAGACTGCCACACTGCAGACATTGTAGCGATATGACTGAAATTTTTTTAAAGCTATGTTAAAAATCATAAACATCGCACCACACCAATTACTACTGCAGTGTAAAGATTTTGACTTGCACAAAACATTATGAACCATAAAGTGACTTTACATAACAGCAAAGTATGAGATAAATATTCTGGAGTACATAAAACAGTTGTCACTTTTACATGAAGATCAATACGCTTGCTATACAAGAAACAATATTGTGTGTTACCAGATTTTAGATGGAAAACTTTTCTCTACACATAAATAATGCATAATGTATGTTAGAAATTTTGAGGCATACTGTAAGTAACCCATCTCTCCACCATAGATCAAGAAATTGTATCAACTCAAAAAAGTTCTTTCAATAAACAAAATGCAGTGCTTTCTATTATCAGAGGCAACATTTTGCAATTTCTAAACTGCAAATTTATTCATATGCCACTGATGCCTCCTTCAATATCATGAAATTTATGGTACAAATCAAACGGAAGCAATAACTACAAAAATTTCTTCCTGAAAATTATTTTTTAAAAACCTCCTACATTTATTTTCAATAAAAGTCTTGTAACAAATTTGGTTTCATTTCAAGAAGTCCTTCAAATGTTACTTAGCAAAGTCAGACAAGGGTCATATAAATTTAACCAGAAAATGGTAAAGATCAAAGTTTACTTTTGCCTTTCTAACCAAATCACATCACTCTGTATGAAATATCTACAATCGGTAAAGCCACATGTCCCCTGCTGGGGGCAAAAAAACACAGAATTCCATCTTTACTATCTACACAATATGTCCTCTCCATACATAGGTTGAAGGCATAGAAACATGTTTCATGTCATCTTTCTACAATGGGTAACACAATATGTCCTCTCCATATATAGGCTGACGACATAGAAACGTGTTTCATGTCATCTATTTACAATGGGTAACACAATATGTCCTCTCCATACATAGGCTGAAGACATAGAAACGTGTTTCATGTCATCTATCTACAATGGGTAACACAATATGTCCTCTCCATACATAGGCTGAAGGCATAGAAACGTGTTTCATGTCATCTATCTACAATGGGTAACACAATATGTCCTATCCATACATAGGCTGAAGGCATAGAAACGTGTTATATGTCAACTATCTACAATGGGTAACACAATATGTCCTCTCCATATATAGGCTGAAGGCATATAAACGTGTTTCATGTCATCTATCTACAATGGGTAACACAATATGTCCTCTCCATATATAGGCTGAAGGCATAGAAACGTGTTTCATGTCATCTATCTACAATGGGCATCACCATATTCTCCCTCCATAGATATGCTGGAGGCATAGAAATATATTTCAATGCTGAATATCTACCAAGGCTAAATCATGCATTCAGGTAGCTATCTTTACAGTATAATTAACATGAAATGTGCATTATTGTCAGTTGTATACACAATGGTAGCTTTAAAAACAACTTTTGACATGTATCAAACAAAGATACCCTGTGAAATGTTTATTCTAATTGATCCAATGATTTGGATTAATTACAGTACAACTTTTATTTAAACTGCTAAGGATTTCATAAATATTCAGATAAAAGGAAGTTTGAGTGAATGAGCTAGATTTGTATAGAAAATGTTCAACCTCAACTTCAAGCTTGACTGGGACATTCATGTAGTAATCATGACTGGGACATTCATGTAATAAGCTTAACTGGGAAATTCATGTAGTAATCTTGACTTTGACATTCATGTAGTAAGCTTAACTGGGAAATTCATGTAGTAATCTTGACTTTGACATTCATGTAGTAAGCTTAACTGGGAAATTCATGTAGTAATCTTGACTGGGACATTCATGTAGTAAGTTTAACTGGAAAATTCATGTAGTAATCTTGACTGGGACATTCATGTAGTAATCTTGACTGGGACATTGATGTAATAATATTGACTGGGACAATCATGTAATAAGCTTGACTGGGATACTCATGTAGTAATCTTGACTGGGACATTCATGTAGTCATCTTAACTTGGAAATTTGTGTTGTAATCTTGACTAGAAAATTCATGTAGTAATCTTGACTGGGACATTCATGTAGTAATCTTGACCGGGACATTGATGTAATAATATTGACTGGGACAATCATGTAAGAAGCTTGACTGGGATACTCATGTAGTAATCTTGACTGGGACATTCATGTAGTCATCTTAACTTGGAAATTTGTGTAGTAATCTTGACTAGAAAATTCATGTAGTAATCTTGACTAGAAAATTCATGTAGTAATCTTGACTGGGACATTCATGCAGTAAGCTTAACTGGGACATTCATGTAGTAAGCTTGACTGGGAAATTCATGTAGTAAGCTTGACTGGGACATTCATGTAGTAATCTTGACTGGGACATTAATGTAGTAATCTTGACTTGGAAATTCATGTAGTAAGCTTGACTGGGATACTCATGTAGTAATCTTGACTGAAATTCATGTAGTAAGCTAGACTGAAATTCATGTAGTAATCTTGACTGGGACATTCATGTAGTAATCTTAACTAGGAAATTCATGTAGTAAGCTTGACTTGGAAATTCATGTAGTAATCTTGACTGGGACATTCATGCAGTAAGCTTAACTGGGACATTCATGTAGTAAGCTTGACTGGGAAATTCATGTAGTAATCTTGACTGGGACATTCATGCAGTAAGCTTAACTGGGACATTCATGTAGTAAGCTTGACTGGGAAATTCATGTAGTAAGCTTGACTGGGACATTCATGTAGTAATCTTGACTGGGACATTAATGTAGTAATCTTGACTTGGAAATTCATGTAGTAAGCTTGACTGGGATACTCATGTAGTAATCTTGACTGTGAAATTCATGTAGTAAGCTAGACTGAAATTCATGTAGTAATCTTGACTGGGACATTCATGTAGTAATCTTAACTAGGAAATTCATGTAGTGAGCTTGACTTGGAAATTCATGTAGTAATCTTGACTGGGATATTCATGTAGTAAGTTTAACAGGGAAATTCCTGTAGTAATCTTGACTGGGACATTCATGTAGTAATCTTTACTGGGAAATATATGTAGTAAGTTTAACTGGGAAATTCATGTAGTTAGTTTAACTAGGAAATTCATGTAGCAATCTTGACTGGGACATTCATGTAGTAAGCTTGACTGGGACATTCATGTAGTAAGCTTGTCTGGGACATTCATGTAGTAAGCTTAACAGGGAAATTCATGTAGTAATCTTGTATGGGACATTCATGTAGTAAGCTTAACTGGGACATTCATGTAGTAAGCTTGACTGGGAAATTCATGTAGTAATCTTGACTGGAAAATTCGTGTAGTAATCTTGACTTGGAAATTCATGTAGTAAGTTTGACTGGGACATTCATGTAGTAATCTTGACTTGGAAATTCATGAAGTAAGCTTGACTGGGATACTCATGTAGTAATCTTAACTGGGAAATTCATGTAGTAATCTTGACTAGGAAATTCAAGTAGTAAGCTTGACTGAGATACTCATGTAGTAATCTTGACTGGGAAATTCATGTAGTAATCTTGACTTGGGCAGTCATGTAGTAAACTTGACTGGGACATTCATGTAGTAAACTTGACTGGGACATTCATGTATTTCAGATGAATTACATTCCACTGTATATATTATACACAAATTAGACAATAATCCATTAGCTCCATTGTGAAATGGCCAAAGAATGAAAGAAACAGGCCTTAAATATTATCTGACCCATACTATGATTACTAAAAATAAACACAGACACTAATCTGTAATGCGAGTACCAACAACATGCTTGCATAAAAATGTTACCGTTAAAAAATTCTAAGATCATACATTTCTTTACACAATTTCACCATCCTATGTTACACCATCCTACGTTATAAGTATGTGGAATACTGAAGGATTTTAGCCATTGGCTTTAAAATGCCTGCCTGCCTATGTTACACCATCCTACGTTATAAGTATGTGGAATACTGAAGGATTTTAGCCATTGGCTTTAAAATGCCTGCCTGCCTATGTTACACCATCCTACGTTATAAGTATGTGGAATACTGAAGGATTTTAGCCATTGGCTTTAAAATGCCTGCCTGCCTATGTTACACCATCCTACGTTATAAGTATGTGGAATACTGAAGGATTTTAGCCATTGGCTTTAAAATGCCTGCCTGCCATAACAAGTATTTAAACTGTTTGAAGAAGTCAGTGCCAAGTTGGCAAGAAAACCAGCCAAGGTAAACAGTTTTACTTTAACACCTTTTATCTGCTACATTCGTACCATGAAAAAATGCTAACAGTAAATTTATGGACAAATATTTTATTTGAACTGTGCCACTTTTTTAAAAAAACCCACATTCATAGTATGATTTTGTCTTAAATTTGGTCCCAACATGGCAATGAAGAAGCTCTATGGTATCCATCTATTCACTCCCGACTTAACCAGCATAGCTATGCAACCCTTGCACACAACATAATGCCATTGGGTAAGTGAATTGCCTATTACATGTCAATGTGTATTTTAAAGTTTATTTTCAAGTGCATCTGTTTTGGAGTTTTTGCTTCTTTCCAATAAATATTATCTCTTCAGTATAACAGACCCTTGTGACCAGCAGAGCTTTGTAACCATTTAACCTAATCTGTGATTAGGTGTGAACATCGACCCAAGTAGACCTTTTATACTTCAATTTTGACTGAGTTGTGCCCCTTGACTTTTATATTCACATCTTCATATTGAATGTTGCTTGTGACCAATGAAGACCTGCAACCATTATGCCATTTGTTAAGTTAATTGCCATTGTACATGCATCTTTTAAAAGTTTTTT